CGTTCCTGTGTGTGTGCATGTGTGTGCCTGTGTGTGTGCCTGCGTGTGTGCACATGCAGGCACACACAAGTGCTGGCAGGCAGAAGGGGGTGTGTATGAGCGAGTTCCTGTGTGTGTGTGTGTGTGTATGTGTGTATGTGTGTGTGTACTGGCAGAAGGGTGTGTGTGTGAGCACGTTCGTGTGTGCGCACGTGCATGCGCGTGTGTCACAGACCCTGCAGGAAGGCTGACAGTCGGGAGCACTCACTAGTGAGATCAGCTAATATTCCTACTCCGGACACTAAGGCCCAGGCCGGGTATTTGCCCCTTCTCTCTGTCAAGCATGTGGGCTCTTCCTTGTTCCCTTAGACATCTCTGTGCATTTTCCTCTTTCTGAAACTTGGGTGATTTCTTAGGACACTTTCCATGCAGGGCATTTGGACCAGGACAGAACAAGCTGGGTATCCTGTGGTTAATCTCTATCCCCAGTGCAAGGCCAGCTCTCACGAACTAGTCACACGCTGGCACGAGCTGGCCGCAGGCTCACACCAGCTGGCCACGCGCTCACACCAGCTGGCTCTTCAGACTGGACCCACTCCTCTAGGAAGCGAAAGAGGTGTCAAGATGTCCACTGACTGTGGTGTCATCTTCCACACCATCAGGGATGAGGCTGTTGTCTCTTGACACCTTGGGAAGGACAGCGGGGAGGGTAGGGGGAGACCAAGGCCACCAGGACCCAAACCCTGTGTGCCAAGTCCCAGGCATCTACTCTTAAGGAGGCCTTCAATCAACAACAGGTCGTGGGTTCCAGACTGTCACCGTGACACGGGCGGGGAGTCAAGAGGGAGACCTCAGGGCTCAGTACTTGTGGCTGGGCTTTCTGAGAAACGGGCCCTACCCGGCTGCGTGCCAGAGGCAGAAGATAAATGCAGACAGCCCAAGGGACCCTAAAAAGCTTTTAACCATCCGGGCCTCCTGTGAACTCCCCACCGAGTAATAAAATGGAGAGGAACACACGACTCTGCTATGTTAGTCTGCCTTCCTCCTGGTTCATCCCCTGCCAACTCCTCTGCCTACACATGCTGTTCTTCAGTTCAGCCACCCGAGGGCACCGGTGAGCCAGATTATCTGCCCTGCCCTGGTCTCCCTTGGACTTAATTCCCTTGATTCCAGGAGCAGGACAAGTGGGTGCCCCCCAGGTCCCCAGAGCTGAGTCCCTGTCCAGTACTCAGGGCTCTGGGTCTCATTCCCGACACTCTCTCTGCCCAGCACACGGGACCTGCTCTCTACTGGGCCCCTCCACAGCCACGGTTCTCAAGGCTGCTTCAAATACAAACTTCTTGGGGGAGTTCGAAAGATAACGATGAGCCGGATGAACCTGGAGGCTCAGGCCTGTCATCCCAGCTACTCGGGAGCTGAGGCACAAACACGGAAAGTTAAAGGCCTGGCTGAGCGCTATAGTGTGAGTTCAAAGTCAGGCTGCACCACTTAGCAAGAGCTCGTCTGAAAGAGTTAAAAAAGGGATCTGAGGGTATATCTCAAGTGGTAAGGTGAGTTCAATCCTCAGTGCTGCAAAAATGGGTCAGGGGGTGGGGATGCAGCTCTTAGACCATAGAGTGCTTGCTTGCCCAGCATGCACGAGGCCCTGGACTGGACCCCTAGCACAGAATACACAGGGTGTGGCCAGCACACAGCCGTAATTCCAGCATCCCGAAAGTAGGAGGATCAGAAGTCAGGGTTATCCTTAGCTACATAGTGAGTTCAAGGCTAGCCTGGACTACATGAGATCCTATTTCAATACAAAAAAAATTTGTGACGTTCAGAGGTCCGTGTCACCCCCCCCCCCAGAGACTAAGGGATACTGGTTTAAACAGTCTGGGTGAGGCCGGGCATCAGGGGACTCGTAGGCTGGGCATGCCGGTCCTCAGGGGACTCGCAGGCTGGGCATGCCGGTCCTCAGGGGACTCGCAGGCTGGGCATGCCGGTCCTCAGGGGACTCGCAGGCTGCCCGTGCCTGGAACTGGAGTTACGGATGGTTGGGAGCCACCATGTGGTGCTGGGAACTGAACCTGGGTCCTTGAGAGTAACAAGTGCTTCTAACGGCTGATTCACCTCTCCAGCCCGTTTCCCGACGCGCGCACTTATTTACATTGAAAGTAAAGGAGAGAGCGCACACATCACCTGTGTGAGGTCAGAGAGCAGCTTTGAAGAATTCTCCCTCCTTCCACCGCTTAGGTCCCGGAGACGGGACTCGGTCATCAGTCTTGGCATCAAGAGCCTTCTCCCGGTCTTCCCTTCTTTGTAAGTATTCAGCCTCAGGCACTTTGTTACAGCAACGAAAACCGGATGAACATCAGCCAAAACGCACTGATACAGCTCGGAGGGCAAGTGTTGGGAACCTGCTGGGGCACGGTGGCAGACACCCACGGGACAGCTGCCCTGAGGCTAAGATAAGGCCGCACCATGAGGAGGGCAGCGGGGGACGTGAGCACACCCAGAGCCAGCCTCTCCAGACCGACAGCCCCCCGGGCCAGGATCCCTGATCACACACCCCAGTCCCGAGGTCAGCCACCTCATACCAGCCAGACCCGAGGAGGGGCTCTCAGCTGTGTCTCACCCGAGAGGCAGCTACACTTCAGAGGCACAAGATCCCACGGCCAGGATTAGAGTCAGGGTCTGACGCTGACTTGTGGGTTCGAAGTTACTCCCCACCGCCCGCCAAACACCGGGCATGTAGCCTGAGGGCGTGAGCCAGGCTCCAGGGAGAGGACAGAGAAGAGGAAGGTGAGGGGTGCCCCTGATGTGGGAAGTCCTGTGATTATGTCAATAAAGCACTGTCTGGCCAATAGGGAACCAAGATAGGTGGGACTAGGAGTCTAGGAGAACTCTGGGAAGAAGAAACACAGAGAGTCAAGATGTAATGCCATGGGGTAGGAAGCCCGGAACTATTCTCCGGTAAGAGAAATACTTAGATTAATAATTATGGGGTAAATACTTAAGTCAGAGCTAGCCAGTAAGAAACAAGCAAGGCCAACAGCTTCATAATTAATATAGCCTCCTGTGTGTTTATTTGGGACTGATGCAGCTCTAGAACCAGGCTGGCGGGAAGGCTTCTCTCAAGGAAAAGGCTTCCCTTTACATGCCCCTTCTGCCTGTGGGGCACGGAGGTGGCCCCCAAAAAGCCAGACACAAGGGCATCCTGGAGCCGTGGCTCAGTGGGCAGGAGCAGGGACGGGGAGGAAGCCGGGACACAGAAACCCAGAATTCTGAGACACAGTGTACCCGAGGGCTCCAGTGGAGGCTTGAAGTGCGTATGATGGTCTGCACCTTCCAGTGGGGAGGCAGGGGTGGTCAGAAGGGAAGCTCGCCCAGACCCATGCTGACCAGGGAGCCACAGCCCTGCAGCCTATGGCCTGATTTCTGGACCCCGGTTCTTCCCAGGACAGGACGGCTGGACAGAGAGCAGACACAGCCCTGTCCATCCTCAGCCGCGGACTGTAGGCTGCAGATAAGGCAAGGCCACCTCTGTCTCAGCTCGATGTAGGACCCGGGAAAGCACAGCTGCACTGCTGCTGTGACACCACCTGGGGGAGCTCTCACGCCTGCCCAGCCCAGGGTTTTTCTTGGTCCAAATCCTGGCTTGGTGAACTTCATTCAGCAAGCCTGGGATGCCCGTTATGGCTGTCTGCTTCCTTCTATCTGAATTCTCAAATATGGGGGTCGATGTTATGTGTCCCTCTTAGGCTTTAGTGGACCCTGTCTTATTGAGGACATAAAAACGGGGCAGAATCCATCTCGAATTCCTAACCGCCGGAGCCAGCAAGGCATTTTGTCTCTCTGCTCTGCCTCATCCGGACTAGTTCATCACAGCATCCAGCTGATGGTGCTCCAGCCCCGGTGCCACCCCACAGGGTTCCAGTTCCGCCGGCTGGTGACCTCCAGCAAGCCACTGACCCCTGAGCCTCCCTCCCTTCCCCAAATACAGAGGGCAGCACCAGGACCTATCACAGCATAGGCATGCACAATCCAGCGCTAGCTGACCCCCATGTCCCCGTCACTATAGCACAGATGTCCACCACAATCCCCGCCCATGCTTGAGCTCAATCATTAATCACATACTCTCTCGCTAGCACCGACCCTCACCACCATCATTTAATATCGTCATTTTATCTACATCTAACGAGCTGAGGACCATGTCTGGGATACAGGAGATGTATTCATCCTAGGGAGTCCTGGGTTTGAGCAGTTACAGGGAGCACGCCCCCGGAGCTCTGAGGGCCTGTCTTTTGTAACAGCTTCCTCTGATACTGAAACATTGAATCCAGCAGGGAAGCTCCTAAGGCACTGAAGGTAAACAACTGAAAACAGCTTCAGGAAGTCCCCGGAACTAGGAACTAACCAGATTCACTCGGCCCCTCCCTGCCAGAGTAAGCAGTGGAAGCTGAGAAAAACCCCTGAGACTGACAGCCAGGCTGCAAAGACGGCTCAGAGGCCAGACAGCTGCCTGAAGAAGCAGTCATCAGCCGAGATGCCTGGAAGAGGTTTAGACCAACTGAGGCACCTGCTGAGCTGCCTGCAGGCTGTGCTCCAGGTCCCCAGGCTGTGCAGTGAGCTGTCACCATGCTGGGGCGGGCTTTGGTGATGGCAGCTGTCTCTGAGTCATTTCTGTTCCTGTAAGTAACCCCAGTAAAACTCTTTGGTTTGGGGCTGGAGAGATGGCTCAGAGGTTAAGAACACCTGACTGCACTTCCAGGGGTCCTGAGTTCAATTCCCAGCAACCACATGGTGGCTCACAACCATCTACAATTCAATCTTGTGCCCTCTCTGGCATGTAGGCAAAACACTGTATATGTAATAAATAAAAAAGATTGAACGCAGGACACACACACTGTATTATCTTTCTCGGTCGCCCTCAGCCTGAGCCTGGACCTTGTGAACCAGGCAGGTGGGGGTGACAAAGCAGCCACTTCCTGCCACCCAGGTCAGGTTCCCAGCGCTCCCCCACCATATCAGGAACTCACCTGCCCTCGCTCTCCAGGAATGCAGAGCCGCTCCCCTCCGCCAGGGCTGCGCTGATGGGCGAGAGGCAGAAAGGTGAAGAGAAGGCGTCAGAGTCGGAGTCGAAGGAGCTATCCCTGCTCACGCCATCAGCCGATAACTCCAAGGAGCCCTCTTCCTCCGCGGCCTCGGGCCGTGGCTCTCGGCCATCCTCCGTCCCATCTTGTGAACTGACTGCAGACAGGATCCCAGAGTCGCTGTGGACTGGCTGGGAAGCAGGCAGAGGCCCATCCGCCTCTGGGCCCTGGGCCAACTTCTCCCCGTCTTCAGACGTGGGGCTGCCGCGCAGAGTATCCTGGGTGTTCTGAACCACTGCCAACACATCCTCATCTTTGGGAGTCAGGGGAGGCCTCGGCTCTGGGGGAGAGGCTTGGTACAGGGCTCCCAGGCTCGTGGTGCGCCGCCGCCGAGGGCGGGGCGCCTTGCGCACTGGGGAGCTCTCGGGGGTGATATAGCGTAGGGCCTCCTCGTCCTGCCTCTGGATGCGAGAGTTGGGGACCCATGCCAGGATGAGGGTAGCCTCCAGCAGCTCATCCTTCTCCATGTACAGGCACAGGTACCCTGTGGGGAGTTGCAGGGCAGGCAGTCAGGGAGGCTGGGCCGCTGGTATCCTAGCTACATGTTCAGCTCTAAGAGGAGGGAGGCAGATAGGCCACCCAATCTCACATCATGACAAGAACAGATCCAAGATGGGTAGTACCTGGGCTGTCTCGGCCATGGCATTCCTGGTTTGTGTTTTTAAATGTAGTTTTTGAGGAAGGGATCACTTTTAAGTCTGTCTATTCGTCGGTACCAAGCTCTTGGGAAGGGCGGGGTGACATCTCCCAACCCAGCCACGACTATTCAGAGGTATCCCAATCCCTGGGCTACTCAACCTCCCCAGGCTTCCCTGATTTTTGTGATTCAAAAACCTTTAGGCAACAGCCAGCAACATGAACCACATATGCCCCTGGGGACTCGAACTCCAGCCACATCTCCTTGGCACGCTTCTATGGTGGCAGAAGCTGGTAAAATCAACCAGCTGTTCCTAACAGTCCCAGAAGGGGGAGGCTGTCCCCACACCCTTGCCACAGCCTTTGGGATAAAAGGGAGAGTCAAGACATCTTTGACCTTCCATTACAACACCACGAATAACACACAGGACTCCCCGAGGTAGCTGTGTCCTCATAGCGACTGTTTTAGACTCACGACTGAGTAGAGCCTGCAACCCCCCGAACTCAGACTGGGACCCCATCACGCTTCAGCTCACCCTGTGAGGCTCCTGGCCCCAGCCTGCTGGAATGGGGTCTAGTGCCTCTGGGACTCACTAGAGAAGCCCACGAGCACACTCCCAGGAATGCCTTGCCCGTTGAGCATGTCTGGTGCTCTTCACACCTAAGCCCATGTAACATGTCTTTGCCGACCCTTGGCTCTGCCTGCGGACAAGATAGTCCTGAAGTTGCTTTCTCTGTCAAAGCCACAGATCCCATACTGTCCTAAGATGACACCCCTTAAAGTCTAAGGGAACTCCAAGGACAACTAGGGTGACAGTGGGGAGTTGTGCCTCCCAGAACACTGACAGAATGGAAAGCTCCATTCCTAGAGACCACAAGCGCCCAAGAACGGCCACAGGTGACACAAAAGTCCAACACTGAGAGTCTAGAGGTTTCCCTTCCTGCTCGCCAGAGTGTTGGTCCCTGATCCCTCAAAATGAGGAGCTCAGGGGAGGGCAAACAAAAAAGCGTGGATCTTTGGGAAGACCCACCTGGTCCCTCAGACCTTGAGCCTTCCCTCCTCCCTGCCTTGGGGTTACCTGACCCCATCTCACCTGGGTGGTGCTCCCCTGGGCCCTGCAGCCCCTTGGGAGCATGCACACAGACATTGTTCTTGGAGTAGATGATCTCTCCATCCAGGATGGAGGGGGACCCGCCACTGCCCCCCGTGGTGAGGGTCAGGAGGTCTGAGGCCTTGGAGGAGGCCCTGCGAAGGAGGCGGCCCAGAGACATGGCCGAGCGCACGTTTCCATCCTCCGCACACTTCCGGCCCAGGCAGGGCTCGCCAAGACCTGCAGGGGGGAAGAGAGACGACGAATCGGAAATGGAGGTCAGGAACACGTGCAGGACATCAGGCTGCACGCTGCCCAAGTACCCTCAGAATTCCAGGGGCTTCTGCATGGTGCTGGCACAGGGCTCATGCGGAGCACGCGGGGCCACGCTGTGCCGTTTCCCTGGGCTCAACCTACCACAGGCCACTGGCATCTCTCCACACCGTTTTGAGCCTCACATCTCCACAACACTTAGGGAGCTGTCTCAGCGCCAGGCTTGGCTGCCAACAGCCCTGGACTGTTCCTGAAAACCGAAGGGGAGCAGAAGAGGAGCAGGGAGATGAGGAGGAGGAGGAGGAAGAAGAGGAAGAGGAGGAGGAGGAAGAAGAGGAAGAGGAGGAGGAGGAAGAGGAAGAGGAGGAGGAGGAAGAGGAAGGAAGAGGAGGAGGAGGAAGAGGAAGGAAGAGGAGGAGAAGGAAGAAGAGGAAGGAAGAGGAAGGGGAGGAGGAAGAAGAGGAAGGAAGAGGAAGAAGAAGGGGAGAAGAAGGAATAGGAGAAGGGTACCATTTCTCTGGCCAAGAAACTACACAAGGCACATAAACAATGTAATACTTTTTTCTAGGAGCCATGTTTGGAAAGAGGAAAAGAAACTACTGAGATTAGTTTTAATAAAGCCCTTAAATCCCAAATATCTTTAACGGATCATTAAGATGAAAAAATAAAAACGAGACTGGATGTACATTCTTCAGACCTTGGGAGTCTGGTGTCTTGCTGTAGTAGCTCCCGCCTGCCGCCTGGGGTGCCCAGGGCTGCCGTGGCCGTGGCCTCGGCCGTGGCCTCCATGGTGGCTGCAGAGGCGTGCACAGACTCCGCCTGCGCCTCTTGTCTCCCCATCACTTAGGGAGCAGCATCAGCACCAGGCTTGGCTGCCAACAGCCCTCAGCTGCTTCCGAAAACCAGAAACATCCTCACGTGACACTGTTTAGCCACACTGAGGATAATCAAAAGAATGTGCCGGAAGCTTGGAAGGAGATCCCAAAAGCCCGGCCGTGGCTGTGCAGTGCGTTCTGCTGCCGCTGTCCGCCAAACAAGAACACGGGTTCCCGGCAATCAGAGCGGCCTGGGAGGAGGAAACAGACCGCAGGGAGGCCTTCCTCCTCCCGTGTGGACCCCTGCTGCTCCCTGCTGGGATGGCTGGTGTTGTGCAGGCAACCTACATCCCTCCCTCTCTCTCTCCCTCCCTCCTTCCCTCTCTCTCTCTCCCTCCCTCCCTCCCTCCCTCCCGGATGGATGTGGAGTGTTCCAAGAGGCCCGGCTGCTTCTGGACAAGCCAGGGCAGATCTGCTCCTCATTAGCCGGGGCGGTTTACTCTGGTAAGACAATTCTTGTCTTCAAAATGTATTTGCTTTGGTGCCGCTTTCATCTAAATCAGACCTGCTGCCCCTGGTGTCTGTTTTCCATCGCACTGGATGGAGGGACTCAGTCTGTTTTCAACCTCAAAACTCCGTACACCAGGCGAGGTAACATCTGCCCGTGGTTTCCCAGTCTGGAAGACGGAAGAAGGAACACTGTGACTTCGAGGCCAGCCTGGGCTATACGCTATCACCTTGTGTGTGTGTGTGTGTGTGTGTGTGTGTGTGAGTGTGTGTGAGTGTGTGTGTGTGTGTGTGTGTGTGGGTGGGTGGGTGGGTGGGTGGTTGACGGCAGCGCAGGCCAAAGGCTCAGCAGGTAGAGACACTTGCTGACCAGTCTGATGGCCTACATTTGATCCCTGGGTAGACAGGACTGACTCCCCAAAAGTCGGACTCTGACCTCCACACATCCGCAAATACACAAATGTAATAAAACCTTCTGTAATGTGTCTGGGCCAGGGTGTCTCAGTCGGTATTGGAACACTTGCCTAGCAAGGGCAAATTCTAGCTGGATCTCCAGCACCGGGGAAGAAAACAACAAAGAAAGACTAAGCAGGTCATGATGGGCCAGGGGTGCAGCCCAGTTGATAAAGGGGGATGCAGTTCTGTCGGTAGGAGGGGATGTTCTCGGTCGGCAGAAGAGCGCCTGCCTAACATGCGCAAGGCCCTGGGCTCTGTCCCCAGGGTTGCATAAACCCCCGTGCGGTGGTGCACGCCTGCAATCCCAGCAATCGCTCCAGCGGTGGAGGCAGACAGATCCTTAGTTCAAAACCGTACTCAGCTGCATCACGAGTTTAAGGGGCCAACCTTGGATATGTGAGACCCTGTGTCCAAAAAAACAGGAAAAGAAAGGAGGAGAAAGAAGGGACAGAAGGAGAAAGGAAGTTGTGGAAGATGTATGAAGAACGCATTCCCTGAAATAACATGATCCAAACTACGTTTGCATCTTCTATGTCCAGTCCAAAAACACAGAGACTTAAAAATGTAAAAACCCACCCACTGGGACGTTATCTTTCTTTTGGTTACATTAGAAACAGGCTTGCCCGGTGTCGTGGACTGAACGCATTCACCGAGAGTCTCGTGTGTTGTGGTCCTAACCCCCAGCTCAGTGTTCAGTGTTATCGGAACAGGAAATCGAGCTATCGAGAATCGCTGGTGTTCGATTCAGGATGCATGAAGCTCTCATAAAAAGAAAGGATTTAGGGCTGGAGAGATGGCGCAGAGGTTAAGAGTACTGACTGTTCTTCCAAAGGTCCTGAGTTCAATTCCCAGCAACCATATGGTGGCTCACAACCATCTGTAATGAGATCTGGTGCCCTTTTCTGGCCTGCATGCAGACAGAACATTGTATACATAATAAATAAATACATTTTTAAAGAAAAGAAAGGAAGAGAATTTGCAGGCAGACCCACCTTCATAGCCATGTAGCTTGGAAGACAGCCACCTATAGGCCTGTGAGACAGGTCAAAGGGTCATTCCCCTCACAGCCTCAGAAGGAATGGACTGGCCAGCACCTTGGCTTCCAAAGCTCTGAAGGAATAAATAGGGCTCTGAGGTAGTTTGAATGTAATCGGCCCCATCATCTCTTAGGAAGTGGCACTATTAGGAGTGGCTTTGTTGGAGTAGGTACGGCTTTGTTGGAGGAAGTGTGTCACTTTGGGGGCGGGGCTCTGGGGTCTCCTCTGCTCAAGCTTCACTCTGTGTGACACTCAGCTCACTTCCGGTTGCCTGCTGGCCGAGATGCAGAACAACCCTAGCTCCTTCTCCAGCACCACGATGACAAGGGACTAAACCTCTGAAACTGTAAGCCACCCCATTTAAAGGTCTTCCTTTATGAGAGTTGCCGAGGTCATGTCTCCTCACAGCAATGGAAACCCTAGCTAAGACAGGCTCGTTCTGAGTTAACATCTTATGGAAGCCCAGGACTGTTAAGACAAGTTAGAAACTGGAAGTGCCAAGCGTTGCCTTGCCTGTACTGCCGGGGGAATCACGCCCAGGGTCTTGTGCACACGGAGACAATACCCTACCACCTAGCTATTCTCTCCAGCCCTTGTGTCCAGGCCAGGCCAGCACCGAACTCAAGTTCCTCCCACCCCGGCGTGCTGGCTGGTTCTTGTCACCTTGATGCAACCCAGAGTCAGCTGGGAAGAGAGAACCTCAGCTAAGAAAATGCCTCCATCAGATCGGCGTCTAGGCAAGTCTTGGGAGCACTTCGGAATTAATGATTCGTGTGTGAGGGCCGAGCTCGTTGTGGGTGGTGCCATCCCTGGCAGATGGCCGGCCCTGGGCTGTCTCAGAAAGCAAAGTGAGCAAATCCTGAGGAGCAGGCCAGTCCTCAGCACGGCTCCCCAGCCTCCGACAGGATGTGGGCGTGAATTCAAACCCTTTCCTCACTAGATGTTTTTGACCGGGGTCTTTGCCACAGAGACAGAAAACTAACTTAGGACATGCGCCCTCTGCCCCCCAGTGCTGGGACTGCACCACCAAACCGTGTGTACACCGAAGGGCCTACATCTCGCACTTCCCGTGACTCCTCGGACTTCTGTTCTCGCTCCCAGAATGCTTCCCAAGCCACAAATCCACCCCCACGGTCCGTCTCCTATCTTCCTTTTCTTGCAGCTTTAGTTTCCAAGAAAGCACCGTGGATAATTCAGAAAGCCTGCTCACGGCGTGGGCGTCTACCCGGGAAAGTCTGGGAGCTGACTGCCGGTCAGTCCGGAGTGAACACTTAGACTGGTTTTATGGCTGCAAATGCTTTTATCGGTAAATGGCGCAAAAGCGGAAAAGACCAACGATGGCTTCATACTGCTGGGATGTTTGGGGCCCTTAGCTGCGGCCCGGAGACCCACATGTTCACTGTTCCCGCTGGCACCCTCCAGACACACCCATGCTGCCCGCTCGAGAGACCTGTGGGCATTCACACACAGGATCCACGCATCTCCCTACCAACGTGCTCCAACGGCTCAGTTTATGAGAAGCAGCGTGGCCCAGTCCACTAACCTTTCCATGCTGTCACCACGGTCCCAGGGGGCAGTACCACGAATGAAGCACATGACAACACTCCTCCCACGAGAAACAGCAGGGTTCTGTGCGGATTGTCGCCCAGACCCCAGATGGTCTCCCTACAGGGCGTCTAGGCCTTTGCCTCCTGGTGCCCAGCAGTTCTGAGGCCTCAAGAGTAAAACATCCAGTGAGCCGCCTCCCACAGGCACAGCGCCCTGGGCTTTGCAGGGGGAAGCCCAGGCACGCCCTGCGTTCCCTGCTGTGAGCGGTGCCTGAGGCTACCCAGAACGTGAGGTCCATCCCAGAGCTCTTCCCTGTCCAGCGAGGACCAGAGCTGCCAGCAGGCCCAAGGGAACTGGGGGTGGGGTGGGGGGGGTGGGCTGAGGCGGGGCTTACTCCTTTGCTCTCCAGAGGGTGTCCCTCCCCAACTCCCAGCTTCCTGCTCTGCGGTGGTTTCCACAGCGCCACCTTGTGGTGAGGAGAGCCAGTGGGATGCACTCCAGTCAGCAGAGCCCCGGGGCCTGATTTAGGTGCCGGCTCCAGCGACGGTGACTTCCTGCTCAGGGCCCATAACCCAAGCTACACCCCAGCTTGGGGAAAACCCATGGCAGAAAGGCAAAGAATCCCAGGACCCCCAGGGAATGAGGGCTGAGCAAGCGAGGAGAGGCAAAACTCAGCAGCCTAGGTGGCCAGCACCACTCAGGGACTGGGCCAGAAAGAGGTACGGCAGTCCACATCAACACTGGGCGGGGCTCTCCAACCTCTAGCTATCTGCGGGGAGTGTCAAGACGCAGATATGGGGCACACACGTGCTGCGTGCTACATACGCCGCACCCTCAAGAGCTGTTATCAGCTCCGCTCCGCTCTCCAGCTGCACAAATAATGACACACCAGCCACTCAGGTTTCCAGCTCCGTCTGGAAACCTTTGCTGACGCCATCGGCTGGACGGGGGGGGGCTGGGTGGCTCCAGGCTGCAGAAGCCTCCCCCACCCGGCAGCCCAGTGCTCATCCGTGCCCAGCCAGCACTGGGTTTTCAGAGCAGGCATTCCTGGGCCGTTCCCTAGCACCCTGTGGGCTCTGCTGGGGCAGCTGGACAAACACATCCCACGGTGCCGCTCTCCCTGCCCAGCTCTGGCTTCTGGCCACAGTCCTTGATCATGGCAAACCCTGCCTGTCCCACACCCAGGACTTGGCCGGGTATCTATCCTCTATTGTCCCTTGGTGTGTCCACCCCCAAGCCAACGACCAGACAGAGGCTAGTCTGTGGTGTCACAGGCTCGTTCGTCTACACAACCAAGAAAGCAGATGCAGAGAACAGCCTCGGGTCTTGGGAACTCCAGACCCCTGTGATCGGAGGCCGTCTGGGAGAGCCAGGACCCCCATCGGTAACTGAATCGTCCCCTTGGCGGCCAAGGTCAAGTCGCCCTTGGCTCTCCCCACCAAGCACTTCTTCAGGATGTGGCTGCCCCTGCCGAAGGGCTCTCGCAGACCCGAGTTTCCTACTGAGCAGCAGCTGCTGTGGGGACACCAGGAGTAGGGGGGGACAAGCGAACCCTCTGCAGGTTCGCCTTTACTGTCATTGCAGAGCGGGCCCACTCCAGCCTAAGGGCAGAGTTCTGCTTTGACACTGCCCCAATCCCTGCTCACCTAAATCCACTACCCATCCCCCAGGCACCAGGCTCCACCAGCATCCCGTGCACGGGCCTCTTACCCATTTGTCACAGGGAAAGCCTGCCAGGCGGCTGGCAGCAGGGCAGGGACATGGCGGCGGACCAGCAGCAGAAGTCAGGGTTAGGGTTGTCACACCGCCTTTCATTATACTTCCAGGATCCCGGGTTGGACACGGGGCTCCTTCATATACAATGTGTGCCCGCTTTCACATGCACAGGGGTGCTGGAAGATTCATAGGGAGGAGTCCTCCACCGGGAGCACCCAGTCCCCGACGGGAGCACCGAGTCCCCAAGGGAGATGTGACATTTGGAGTGAGGTCTGATGCTGCAAGAGGGCGACCCAGGGTCTCCACTGGCACCAGAGTCCAAACGCGCAAATGGCCCGAGGGCAGAGAAAGACAGAGAGGATCGTGGGAAGGTAGGGAAATGCTCATCAGGGGCTTGGCACCTGTGCTGAGCCTACAGGAGGGACCTGCAAGTCACAGGGCTGGCTGGGAGGGATCCCAGCTAGGAACAGGTGCAGGGGGCGGGGCCGGTGAGGGAGCAGGTGGGACTCAGGCTGCAGTGGCCCAGCAATGCTGAGAGTGGGGGTGGGGGAGTTTATACAAAGACACACAGTTCTTCCTGGATGTCCTGACTTTTCTACGAATGTCAAATTGTTCTCTCTCCCCAGCACTCGGGAGGCGGAGGCGGGCGGATCTCTGTGAGTTCGAGACCAAGCCTGGTCTACAAGAGCTAGTTCCGGGACAGGCTCCAAAACAATACAGAGAAACCCTGTCTCGAAAAACCTACACACACACACACACACACACACACACACACACTCACAAGCAAAAGTCTATGCCTGTTTGTTGGTTTGGTTTGGTTATTGTCAACTTGACACAAGCTAGAGTAATATAGGAAGAGGAACCCCAACGAGAAATGCCTCCATCAGACTGACCTGTGGGTGAGACTGCAGGGCATTTTCTTGATGGGTAAATGATAGAGGAGGGCCCAGCCAGCTCACCGTGGACAGGGGGAGGGCCCAGCCAGCTCACTGTGGACAGGGGAGGGCCCAGCCAGCTCACCGTGGACGGGCAGTCCTGGATGGCGTAAAGCAGGCCGGGTAAGCCACGAGGAGGAAGTCAGCCAGCGGTATATTCCGTGGCTTCTGCTTCAGTTCCTGCTCCAGCTTCCTTCAGTGAATGACGGGCTGTGACGTGGAAGTGTGAGCCGAACAAACCCTTTCCTCCCAAACTTAACTTTCGGTCGTGGTCTTTATCAAAACAATAGAAATCCAACCAAGATAACAAGCTATTCTTGTTTGTTTTGCTAACGTAGGAAGTAGACACTGCAAAGAAGCAGAGGGGAGCCCCGTGTGTGGATCCCGAGTGTGGATTCCTGCGTGCAGACCCCGTGTGTGGATCCCGCGTGTGGAGCTCCGTGTGGGGACCAAGTCACCGAGTGGTTGCTAGAGGCAGGGCAAAGCAGATCATTGTCACCAAGAGAGCAACACTGAGTCCCTGGGCAGTCACCAATGGCCTGAGCAGTCTGTGGGGAGACTCTCCAGATGTCCTTGGATTTAAGCAGGTAAACTTGAAGCACAGTAGCTCAGAGTGGTTTGTGCCCGTGACCTTAGGGACCTGATGTCCTCTGAGGTCAGAAACAGACAAAGACCAGCAGGCTCCAGAGAGGGCACCAGGCACTAATCTCTAGGTGAAAGCAACACCCAGGTCCCCTTCCGTGTCTGGGCTCTTTCCACAGGTGGACGGCTTCAACCAATCACACGAAAGGCAGCGAGGGAAGACGCAGCTGAGCTCGTCCTTCAGGCACCATCGCCGTGAGGGTCCCTGAGAGACTGTGAGGGGTGAGCAGGCACCTGATTCTGTCGCAGAGTCAGAGTTCAGTGGGACCAAGAGTGGGGCATTAGGAGAACTAGTCATAGCCGCAGTCACAGAGGTGGCCAGAGAAACTCAGGGCAAAAGCTTTATATATATGTATATTTTTTAAAGCTGTTTTGTTTTCTTTTTTAAAATGTGTGTAAGAGAGAAAGCACACACGCACATGTGTGCATACGTGTATGGGTTGTGGCACACACACATGTGTGCATACGTGTATGGGTGTGTGGCACACGCACATGTGTGCATACATGTAAGGGCGTGTGGCACACACCACTGTCTTAAGTATTAGGCCTTCGCTTTCTTCCTTGTTTGGACATGGACTCCTGTTCACGGTTGCACAGTCCAGGCTAGGCAGCCCACGAGCTTCTGGGGGTCCCCGTCTCTGTCTCCCTTTTCTCCGTAGGTTCATTGGGATTACATGGGTGAGCTACCACACTCGGCTTTCATGTGGATTCTGGAATCCAAACGCTTGCATAGCAAGCACTTTACCATCAAGCTACCTCCCCAGGCCCCAATATTAATCGAGCGGTTGGTGGCTTGGTTGCTTAAGACAGGGTCGTATTAGGCAAGCCCTAGGTAGCCTGCGATTTGTTATATAGACCAGGCTGGCCTCAAACTCACAGATTCAAGGCAGATCCTTTTTTTCTTTTTTCTTTTTTTCTTTTTTTTTTTTTTTTTTTTTTTTTTTTGAGACAGGGTTTCTCTGTGGCTTTGGAGCCTGTCCTGGAACTTGCTCTGTAGACCGGGCTGGCTTTGAACTCACAGAGATCTGTCTGCCTCTGCCTCCCCAGTGCTGGGACTGAAGGCGTGTGCCACCAACGCCCAGTTCAAGACAGATCCTTAACAGCAATGAGCACCCTTGCCTCTTGAATACGTTGCTACGATATCTATTATTAAAAATGCTCGCACCCATGTCAGTACCACTGATTTTTAGGCTCCCATGTGCCAGACATCTCCAAGTCCCCCCTGAGCTGCACCTACCTGACTACCACCTCCAGCGGGGTCCCACAAAGAACCAAAGACGGAGGGGAGGAAGCCAGGTCCAGACTCAAGTCAGCTCCTGCTTACAGGCAAACAGCCCCAGCTGACGGTTTTAAAGGTCACGGTATGAAAACACAAGGCGGGCTCCCACTTGTGACCCAGTGAACCCCTGCTCCACACCTGTGCTGATCTAGGTCGCCAACGCCGGCCGCTCCACACCTGTGCTGATCTAGGTCGCCAACGCCGGCCGCGAGGCAGAGTCCCTTGCAAATGGAAGAACTGTGCAACTGAACAGAGAAGAACAGCATGACCTCCCTGCCTCAGAGGCAGACACACCAGCTCACAAAAACCCTCCACCGCCCTTCCTCCCTAAGAACCCCACAGAGAAACACGGGCTCCCTGCTGTGACCGCTCCCCGAGCAGGAAGTCTTGTAGGGATAAAGATGGCTGAAAGTTAGCTCCAGAGTTAGTTCAAGGTGGCTGGAGTGAGGGGTGGGGGCACCTGCTAAGGATAGACCCAAACCGTAGGGGCGCGGAAGGGAGGTAAAGGGACTTGCCGATAGGCATGAAGACTCGTGTAAACGCGGGCAGACGTGGTGGCTTGCTGTCACCCACCACACTGGAGGCGGAGACCCCAATCCCGCACAGCAGACTTGCTAGCCAGACTAGCCTAATCTGTGCCCGCTGGGTTCAAGTGAGAGATCCTGCCTGACTTGGTGTATAAGGTGGGGAGCTGGGGAGCAGTGAAGGAAGAGACCCGATGTCAGCCTCCTGTCTCAACATGCCATATGCCAGCATGTGTGCGCCCCC